GAATTTACCTTGATAATAAATATGATCCCCCGTTATTGGTAGGTCCGTTATGTTTGCATACTGCGACTCGTGTCTATCAATGCGAAACAGTGTTTGCACGCTTAACCAAGTACATGCAGAAGAATATACACACACTGAGATGCGCGGGCGTGTACACTATCATGGCTGATTTTTTTCCTTCGAAACGAAGAGCGAGTGATCCATACATGGTAACGGTGAGAAGACTGGCTTACGCGTTGCAACGCGTAACCCACCCTACCTGCTCTCCTGTCGCCACTCGTTCGCCTTCCGTTCTTTTCTCCTGCTTGTAAGCTGCTTTTACATACAACTATGCACACAAACATGTATTATTATTGTCTATCTGAAATTTATTTGCCATAAACTTTTGCATACTATGGAATATTATTGATAATCAAAATCGATAATTAATACCTGTAATTAAATATGCAATAATGAATATTGTTTGTAAAAAAATTGAAAAATGAAAATAATTTTGTTTTATTAATATTGCTTAAAAAAAATTTTTTGCCAAGCAAACTTTCAAATATTTTACACTGGCAATTGTCTCAAAGGCATTTTTTATTAGATCCGCAATATTTGGGTGTGTACGTCTGTGACTCACGTATCGACTTTTCTCCCAGCCAACTTCGAACAAGCAGGGTGGGTTTAAGGCACACCCATCCAGCTAAGGGTAGAGAAGATATATATGTTGATATAATTTTTAAACTTAATTATAAGCATATATTTATATATATTCTATAAAGAGAAAAAAAAAATAAAAAATTTTACATTTTAACGTAAATATATTAAAAAAAATTTTAATTAATAAATTATAATTTTATTAAATTAAAAAAATCCATAAAAATTAGAAAACAATGTACTGTACTTATATATTTCAATGTAATTGTTAAATAGGTCAATTAATCTTTTTTAGTTTGGCAACAATGATATCATATATTTACTATTAAATTTACCAGATTATTAAATTTTTAAGTTATTAATTAAAATTAAATTCTATTAGTATATATAAAAATTATGTATAGGTTAACTGGCTTACATTTGGAAAAAGAATGTTCGAAATCATTAATTATTGATTAATCATTAAAATAAAATAAAAATCATAATTAAATTTGTTGCATCAGAGTTATTATTATTATAAAGAGATAAATTTCAAGAATATCGAAAAAAAAAAGTTGAATTCGTGGGTCGACAGCATTGGCCTGCAATTTTGTCGAATCGAAATTTTGTCAACGATGTCACATCCGCAAAAGTTGGAGCGCAGAATCACAGAGCAGTTGGCAACGCTGCTGACGTTGGCTGGTGAAAAGGTGGCGGGGCTTAGACGCCGACCAATCACAAGCATTATTCGAATCTCCCCACGTCGCTCCCCGCGGTCGTGCCGAAGCTTGAAAATCTGTAACGGACGCCGCTTCCAGGGCATATTCGTTTCTGGGCTCTCGTGACGAGTTAGCGTGTATCTCGTCGTTAGTTCGATAATCGCAGTATACTTCGAAAAAGTCCAGAAAACTACCGAGCAACATGAGGGAAATCGTCCACATTCAAGCTGGCCAGTGCGGTAACCAAATTGGCGCAAAGGTAAGTGTTAAAAACTGTTCGAAATAATTGAATTCGCGACCGCGTGGAAATGAACGCTTCTTTGTTCGGCGTCGTACTTGGTGTTAGTGTTCCTTATAGAATTGTGTCTGTTATGTGCTCAAATGTCCTTTTTCCATTTCATAATTTTAGATTTTTTATATAAAATTTATGGAAAAAAAGAATTTGGGAAAAAATAAAAAAAAAAAAATCATATTTGTTTAATTTATGTCGATCTTTTGAACGTTTTTCTCTTGTATATTATTTACGAAAGCTTATTTACGTGGAAAATAATTCAAATTTTATAAATGTTATAACGATCGATTTCAACGAAAGACCGTGTTATACTTCAGCTACGTGGTACGGCTGGCATGTGAAAAAATGGCAACCTCGCTCGGTCGAAGACCTGTCATGGCGACAGAACCAAGCCGGCCGGCTGGTACTTAACGGTTTTTTTTTCTATCGACCCATGTTTTCTAACGAAGTGTTGTTGTTAAATATTAAATGTATATTCTTCAATTTTTTTTTATTTATTTATCGAGAATGTTGTTGAATTTTTAAAAGGAAAAGTATTCGAAATTGTATTTATTTAAAAATTCATAAATGTTTTAAACTCCGAGCAGGGCGTGGTCTATCTCCGGCGTCGAGATACATTAGTTGATGCAGCAACGGAATCGAATGCGCAGTTGCGCGCGCAATTGATCCTGTCTTTCTTACTCTTCTTTCTCTCATCAACATTCTAGAATATTACATATTCTTTACTTGAATCTTTTAGATTCTTCACAAATTCCATGTTTATTTTAATCTTTTTGAATCATATATTTATTATTTACTAATATTTATATCACTTTTTATAGAATTTAATTTTTTTTTAAAAATATTATTTTAAAATAATCATTTTTTTTTTAAAATTAAAATTAGAAATTTGTTCAAATAAATAAATCAATAAATAATTTATTTCGCGAATGAAAACATTCATATTTTCTGATCACATTATATATACATAACTATCGTAACAAATGACTTGTGAGGATAGCGTACGTATAGCAAGTAATGCAATGTAGTTACGCTCTCATAGTTTTCAAGGTTGTTTCATTGAGTCAATGTTCGCTTCCTAAATTATTCATTCCTATCTTATATTATGCTGTCAATTCTTTGACAAAAATATTTTATGCAAATTTTTTATTTAAATTATTACTCTATCGTAATTCACCCATCATCGAACGATTGAGTAATAGTTACAATTACCCATTCAGGGATCTTGTAATCCAAGGACATCTTGTGTTACGTAGTATGGTGAAACGTTTCCAAATACAGAAAGAAGATATCCTTTCGCCATTTTCTTTCGCGTTACTTCGACCGGTTATTTTACGTTGGTAACAACTAGATGGATGTAGTACGAAGATGTAGTATCGATCG